GCCTGCTGGATTTGTGGGTCTTTTGTGCCTCGGTTGGCACTGACCACACTGACCTTCATGTTATTCCCACACTGCTGCAGCCGTGTGTGTACCCCACAGATGTTCTCCGGGCTCGGCTGGGACACCCTGAAGGGATTCACAAAAGTGCTCTGAGAGGAGAGATGCCTCAGGCTGTGGTCAGACACAGCTGCTGACCCTCAGGAAGAGCAGATTTATCCTTGCTGTGTGCTGTGGATCCCTCTCAGGAAAGAATGACACCTCCTCAGATCTGCTAAAGGGAACAGACCTTTGCTTCCTAACCCTTTTCTGTTGCAGTGATCCATGATGAAAATGTCTTCAGTCTTATTGCTAACCATGATCACTGTGGCAGGACAAGAGCCAGAAGTAGACTGCACATAAAATTACAGATTTGAAAGCATCCACCTTAGAAAGGGAGCTGGGAATATGTAAATGGGTGTAGTAATCTCTTTACTCCTTGTGAATACTTTTTTGCTTCAGGCTATACCACTTGATAGGAAATACCAGGGACACAAGTGATGTAAGCTGTGCCCGTTTTTAGGATAGAGCTGACTGTAGAATGCGCTTGGGATTCATAGTGCCTGTTCCTTGCCAGGTTATATCCCTTTGTCACCTAACAAGGCAAACAGAGTTGTCCTCAACCCCCTGATCCATTTTCACCAGCGGCTGTTGCATGCACTGGGCAGTGGAGCTCCCTGTTTTGCTTGAGAAAGCATGTGAGCCTAGCACCAGGGAAGAAAAATATTTCAGCCATTTTGCTAGGAAATATTTAGGGTATGTCTCCTGGAAGCTCTTCCTGTTAGAACCATTAAAGTTTGTAAGGAATAATTAAATATTCATTTTGAGAGATGGGAGAATGAGCACTGCTCTTTAGTCTTCTGGTCTGAGCACTTACACAAAGGGGGAGGAATCAAGATTCCAGACTTAGCTTCACTGAATACTGAATTTAATGTATTTAAATGTTAATTGGAGTCCTGGTGAGTGCCCTGAGCATTAAGCTACAGCAGTATTGCTCATTCTTGTTTTTTTTTCCTTAGCCCAATTAATATTTATTTCATGCACATTAGAACCACCCTACAGGAATGATGGAGATTCACCTTCCTTGCAGTATTCTCTGAGTTACTGATTATTGTGAGGTTACCTGCAGGTTCGAACATTCTCATGGAGAATGTGATGGATTTGAAACAAGGTCCCTCAAATTTAGGATCAGTGCTCTGATCACTGAGTTGGTAGCTGGGGGAAAGATGCCTTGTGTTACTTATTACCCAGATCAGTAGATGATTCCATCTGGATTAGGCCTGGTGGGAGGGAGGTGGATGGATGTGTGGTGATCCTGCCAGGGCCTAAACATGAGTTAGAATTGAGGCTGCTCATCACCATCGAGACTTGGCTGTGTAGTACTGGAGGAACAATGCCTGTGCCTGTCACAGGTGGTATCTGAGTGTTGGGAAATGAAAATGTGGACCTCAGGTCCTGAATTCCCTTTGTGACTCTAGTTGTAAACAAAACTTACTGCCAGACTTGGTTTCAAATGAAAATCTCTCACTGTTTTGTTTGGCTTTTCTTGTGGACACTCCTAGAAAGCCTTGTGTGAATACTCCAACTGCTTGCTACTCTTACCTCCCAGCAACATTGCAATGAGACGAGATGTCCAAGAGGGCCAGGCTCGGTGTTTATCTCGCTTAGGAAGGCACAAGGAGGCTCTGGATATTGCAGAAAAAATGGTAAATAATGTAGTCTTTCTTTTAGGCTTTGAACATGGAAACATTGCCAGTTCTTCTTTTTTATGGACCATTTTCTGGAAAAATAATTTTCATGTGTATAATCCTTCAGGATGTTCAGTGCTCGGAGTATTTGGTAAACAGAGGGTAACTGTCACTGCAGATATAATCACTCTTTAGAAATCAGAACACCCTGTACCACAATGAGTTCCCTGTGCAGAGAAGCTGGTAGTCCTGGAAGGGACTAAATATCATGCTCTGCCAGGCAGAATTAATGTAATATAATAAGAATTATAAGAAAGGGGATAAATGAGTGCTTAAATCTTTCCACTATAAAAGTGGCAGCTCAAAACTCCCTTTTATTTCCATATACTTGATGCCAAACTGCCACCAAGAAGAGTATCTAACCACAAATTGAGGTTTTCCCATAAAGGGAAAAGTCCAGAGGCTCAGAAGTCTGCTAGAATTTTACTGATGCTGTTTATTTTGTATAAAAGGTGTTTATACTACAAAGAAAGGCAGCTGTATGACACTGAAGGCAAATAAGCAATTGACAGCATTTGGGATCTTCTTGCTGCTCCGACTGGGACGAGGCAGCTGGAGGGAATGCTGCCGTGCAGGATCTGTATCCTGTTGTATCAGTTAAAATTCAGAGCACAACTCTGCACAATTTAAAAATTACCCTGTGATATTTGTATGTCATTATTTAGGGATCCATTTTCTTTGACTCTGAAGGATGATTCTGTTCTGCTCCTGTGTTTAATTTGTTATCTTTTGTTTCTAGAGAAACAGTGCTACTAACACAGATCACTTAACCACGGTTCTCAACCTGCAGTTTGCCATTTACCAGGGCCTGCAAAACGTAGAAGAAAAGATCAGGTGTCTGCAGCAACTGATCTGCTTACATCCTTTCAACCCCTGGTACTGGAAGTTACTTGCTGAAGCTTATATGAGCCTTTTACAGAACTTTTCTCCATTAGTCATTCCAGAAGCATGTCTAAGTCAGTCTGAAGAGGTTGGTGTCAGTGATAGTAGTTTCAAAACATCGACTGAAAGAGAGGTTAATTTGCAGCCTTACAGATCAGATGGCCAGAAAGAAGGTCCTTGGTCCGGCCTTGCTGCAGAAACAAAGGGGGAGAATACAGTGACTTGCAGCAGCAGCCAAGTGATGAAAGAATTCCTCTGTGCTTCAGAAGAACTGGAAAGGGTGGACGAAAGGGAGTGCAGAGATTCTGAGTCCTGGAAGCAGAACATGTCGAAGAAAGCTGGGATAAAGGCATGTGCCTCATTTATTAGAGCAAGGTAACTATGCTTATTCTTAGGGTAATGTTAACTTTTCCCCATTGATGACAATGTAAAGCATATTTTTCCTAGCCTTGCCATTTTCAGTTTACATTTCCAATTCACATGTTTGTTTCAGAGTTGACAACACTGCCTTAGAAGCACCATGCTATTGCTTCAGATCTAAAAAGCAAAATCTACTAGCATGGTGGCTGTGAACAGTCTAAATCTGAGTGGAAAGAGTAATCCAGTGCCATGCACAGTTGGGAAGTAAAGCTTATTTTTTAATGAGCTTATAATGTGAATCTTTTCAGGCAATTGTGTACAAAAGGGTATGTTCTTCAACAAATGCTCTGTTAGACCATGGCTGTTCCCTGGTCTGGTATGAAAGATGCAGCAGCAGAAGTGAAGTGCCCCAAAGGGAAGGCCCAGCCAGTCTTCCTTCTGTGAGTGCCACCTGTCTTATTTGCTTGAAGCCTCATGCTTGAGTGAAAATGTATTTTATAATAATACCCCAATCTGCATAATGGATGAGGTTGAAAAATGAACTCTGTGACAACTGATTGACAGGGCTACATTAAAATGCTCTTTCCTTTTCTTTCCCCTCTTCCTGCAACTCTTGCACGCAGCAAAAATCCCCAAAACATAATCTTTCAAAGAGATAATTAGGAACTGGTTGCGTTAAAATAATTTTGGATGGTTTTTTCCCCTCCTGCCTCTCAGTAATGTGTTAGTCACTGAATGTATTTAAAGGCATTTTATGGACTTCCACAAATGTTTGCAGAGAACACCTTATAACTGCTCTGTTAGAGCAAGATTTAAGAAATGTAAAAAAAGTATATGGTAGCTTTTAACTTTATTCAGACTAAGAGATGAAGACTTTAATTGCTACTTGGAAAAAGTTAATTGATTTAGTACTGATATTGAATATTAAAGCTACATTAATATTAATAATTTGTGTTGTTTATTTCAGTGTGTATTGGTTCAGGGCTGTGACAGTTGTAAGTGGTGGGATTTCCTTGCCTGGCTGCACAATTTCACAATGTTACTGTGGTTTATACTTGCAGATATACTTGTGCAGGGTAAGCTTCTCCCTGCCCAGAGTTTATGCATTATATAGGTTGTCTAATATTTTCAGGCCTGTTGGATATTAAGTGGGATGTAGATGTTGCATAAACATATGTGCAGGATAAATTGCACCTGGAAAAGGGATGTTAGTATTGATTTTTGTAGGAAAGAAGTTTCTGTGTAAAAGCATCATGAATATTTGACTCTCCTAGTTTTAAAAAAAATTAATTGGAGAAAATAATTTTCATTGAGATTTCATTCTTTCTTACATTATGCTGATACAAATTTTGAAACAAAAACATTTTATAAATTAAAAATGTTTTCCATTTTTACTTTGAGTTTCCCAGTCAAAACTTTACTGAATTTACAGATGGTTTGTTGGTTAAGACTGGTAAATTTGGGTGTTTATAATGCTCAAATGAAAGTTTTCATCTAAGATCTTGAGTCTTCTCCATAAAAACGCACACCAGTATTATAACACCAGCTTCCCTTAACTTCAGTAAATGTGATAAATTTGTTGTTATTTTTATGTGTAAACCTTGAATTAAATATAGTTTCAGCGATGATGCTTCTAAGTTCTAGTGGTTCCTTGGCTGAATATCATAGAGTCATAGAATACCAAGTTGGAAGGGACCTCAAGGTTCAGCTAGTCCACCCTTTCGTGGCAAAAACATCAGCTAGGCAAGATGCATCTCATCTAGCTCAATCCTAAGAGTGTCCAACACAGGGAAATCCACAGCTTCCATGGGGAAATTATTCCAGTGACTGGTTGTTCTCATTGTAAACAATTTTCCTCTTGTGTCCAGTTGGAATCTCCCCAGAATTAACATATACCTATCACCCTTCATCTTTTTTGTGGCTCCTTGTGAAAAGAGTCTCCATCTTCTTTTTAGCCACTGTTTAAATACTGAAACATGGTGATAAGGTTTCCCCTAATTAAGCCTTCTTTTCTCAAGGCTGAACAAACCCAGTTCTCCCAGCCATTCCTCAATCAGAGGCTTCCCAGTCCTCTCATCATCTTTGTGACCCTAATAAATTCTCTAAAACTTGTATTTATCCCTACAGTAATGCCCATTGTGAATTCCAGTGAGTCCACAGGAAATATCTTTATCTGTTCCTTGAAGCCTGTTAATCCACCTGACAGGTGGATGTGAGACAGACATACAGGTACCTGGACATTTCCTCTGCTGACACGGTTTACAGTCCTTGTGTGAGGAGGACTCTGGGAACTGCCACTGCTCTCTCTGGCTGAGCAGTTTGTGATGGGACCCTCCGTGACATGAAGCCGTGTCGTGAGCACAGTGTCTAACCTTCACTGAATCGTGGTGGTGACTCCTGGGGCACTGCCTTGAACATAAAACTGTGGTGAAAGCTTTTAGAAAATATCCCAGGGTTGGTCTGTGTGGGGAGGATGTTTGGTATTTGTCTAAACCCCCCAAATTTCTAGCTTTTCAGGTTACAAAGATAATCACTGCCACAGACAAAAACGTGCTGCTCTCTTGTTAGGCCTTAGTAAAGACATGGGACACCTGATGACTGCAGTTCACTAGGAGGTCTAAGCCTCACTTTTGAGGGGTGTGACAAGTATATTAGGAGAAAAATGTTTGTGCAGAGCAAGCAGAGGTACTTGGCATGTTGCGTTTTGAAAGTACTTCTCAGTAGTTCTGTCATAGCACAGATAAACCATACCCATAATAGATTGATAACGATGTCTTAATTTCTTTGCAGTTGGCAAAAGTCAGGAAGAAGAGCTGTTTTAAAGTAGTATAATTTGGTTGGGGTTAGGTCTGCTGACTTACTCTTTTGCCAGCTGTGCATATTTTTATCTGCTTTTCTCATTCCAGGCTTTTACTTCAGCTTATTGAGTCGCAACAGTCGTCCTTTGTGCTAGAGAGTAACAGGAAAGGTCAAGAAGACATTGATGACAAAGTGGCACGACTAGGTTTCGATGAAGACTCTTTGCTGTTGATGACCAAGGTAAGGGGATGTTTCATTGTGTGTAGGTTCTCTTGCATGACTTTCCCCTGAGCTAATTAAGAGTGCCAGGAAGGGAAGTAAATTAGGTGGGGCAGGCTGTGTGTTCCCTGGAACAGACAGCGATGCCTACGGACGCTGCCCGCGTCATGCAGGTGTATCTCCAATCTGCTGAGGTTCTCCTTTCGGGAATGTTCAGGGATGTTAAGTTTCTTGCTGGACTTGTATTTGCAGATGCATCATTGCTGTGCTTTTCCTGGGATACACAATTTATGTCAGGAATTTTAGGTGCCCCAAAGTGAATCACAAGTATGAAATGGACGTGTGGCTCTGATGGCCACAGCAGTATGAAGCACTTCCAGAAACAGTATTAAATATTTTCAGAAAAAGCCAGAAACATTCTTTTACATGATTTCTTTGTTGTGTTCGATGCACTGGCTTCTAGTTTTAAAGACATACAAAGGAGGAGAGTAATAGTGCATGATTTTATTCACAGATATTAAACATTTTTAGTGCTATTTGTAGAGCTGCTGACTTTTATCTTAAGGAACAAAAGGAAGCCAACGAGTTTCTAACTTTGCTGTCAGCATTACAGCTTTAAGCTAGTGACAGCCAAGCCACTGCCGGGCTGGCAGGCAGTCTGTGGGACTGCATCCATGAGAGGGCAGTAGCATGCAGGCTGTCTCAGGGCAAGAGAAAAGGAACTTCTCTTCCTGCTTCCCTTGTTCGGACACAGCCCAGGAGGAGTTCAGTGTTGATGCTGTTGCAAGGTGAGCAGCGACTGCAGAGTTGGCATTGAGATTTCTGCTGCTACGCGTAGTGAAAACCCCTCTGTGCAAACGTAGCCAGAAGGGGTTGTACAGCTGTGAAGCTTGGGCTTTCAGCTCTCCCTGTACACTAAAAATGCAACAGGCAAGCAGTTTGATTATGACCTGGAAACTTCTCCAGGGTGGTGTATGGTTCATGTGACAAGGACTTTGCTTGTAAAGACCTGTTATTAATGCCATGGGGTTTGCCCTGCAAGTTATTTTCTTGTTTCCCATCTTCTTTCTTGCTCTTTTTTTCAGGTTATGGAACAGGATCTCATACCAGAAAAACTGAAAGAGGAGTTTCAAGGTGAGGTAAAATGCATAGGCCCTTCAGCATTGTCATCATTGGTAACTGCTTCAGCCACAGAATTTGAAATCAAATGGTTCAGTACTCTCCAAGATGATTTGTGCCACTTTGACAGACAATTCTATTCAGATACATATCTCCCACCTTCAGTAACTTAAAGGTTTTGTTGTATTCGTTCTTGAGTCTCCAAATGATTATGGCATGATACATGGAATAAAATCCATATTACGTTTTGTAAGGATTCTCATTGTCTCTGTTTTAAGAACAGATGTAAATCTCTGCATTTATTCTCTTAACCTCTCATCATTTTCTTTCTTCACTGATTTGTTTCTATGTAAAATGCTAAGGAATCCAGTAAAAATAAAGCTTTCAATTCAGGTTTCAGAGGTAGCTTTCCATCACAAACCTCACTGATTTGTGCTTGAAACACCTGTGGGGTTTGGTTTTTGAGGCCTGCAGTGCCGGTGGAGTGAAAAGTTTCCTTTGTGATCTCCAATTTGAAAGTTTCTTGGTATCAAATTCTATGTTGTTGCCTTTAGAGCCATGGAATTAGTAATTTTCTTAAGTAATTTATTTATACTTCTTGCTTGACATTATAGTGATTTCCTGTTCAGAAATGAATAGCTAGAAAGCTTAAATATATATATTTCTGCTGAGAAATTGTCAATAAGAATAATTCCATACATATTAGGAAAGAAATCTAAGTAGTTTAACTTGGAATTGGAAGGAGACTTTTTATCTTCTAAGTGTTGTTTGCAGGCATAGAACTAGCTGTAGTCTTGTCTTCAGTGTGCTTAAGGATGAGGGAGGAGAAAAACTGTCAAGGCTGTTAATATGTACTGAAGAGTGTTTAGTCAGCTCATATCCTTTTAAACCTGCAAGGACGAAGATCTTTGCTGTGGAAACTGGCAGTGTTGTTTCTGCCTCATACAGCTCCTTGCGTTGGTACATTCAGTTGATCGTGACACCACTTAGCTTTGCTTTCTGAAGCATTGATGCTGTGTGCTTGGGGTTCGACAGAAAAGGGCAAAGATTATCCTGTAGTTTGTTTCACTTGATAGAGTTTGCATTTGAGACGCCTTCCACTCGACCATGCTGCTCAAAGCCTCATCCAGCCTGGTGTTGAACACTTCCTGTCATGGAGAATCTACAACTTCACTGGGCAGCCTTGGCCAGTGCCTCACCAGCATCACAGTAAAGAATTTTTTCCATGTGCCTAATCTAAATCTACCGTTTTTCAGTGTGAAGACATTCCCCCTTGTCCCATGACTACATGCCCTTGTAAAATGTCCCTCTCCAGCTCTCCTGGAGCCTCATTACATACTGGAAGGCTGCAGTAAGGTCTCCCTGGAGGCTTCTCTTCTTCAGGCTGAAGAGTGCCAACTCTCTCAGCCTTTCCTCTTAGAAGAGGTGCTCCAGCCCCATGATTGTCTTGGTGGCCTTCTCTCGACTTGCTCCAACAGGTCCATATTCTTATGCTGGGAGCCTCAGAGCTGGATGTGGTACTCCATGGGAGGTCTCAACAGAGTGGAGTAGAAGGGCAGAATCACCTCCCTCGACTTACTGCCCAGGACACAGCTGGCTTTCTGGGCAGCATGCACACATTGCCAGCCCAAACGGAGTAGAAGGGCAGCATCACCTCCCTCGACTTACTGCCCAGGACACAGCTGGCTTTCTGGGCAGCATGCACACATTGCCAGCTCAGGTCCATCCCCTCTTCCACCAGCACTCCCAAGTCCTTCTCACCAGGGCTGCTCTGTCTGTCCATCCCCAGCCTGCATTGATACCAGGTTTCCTCTGACCCAGGAGCAGCACCTTGCACTTGGCCTTGTTAAACCCCATGAGATTCCCATGGGCCCACTTCTTGAGCTTGTCCATGTCCCTCTGGATGGCATCCCATCCTCCAGGTGTGTCAACTGTACCACTCAGGTTGGTGTCATTGCAAACTTGCTGAGGGTGCACTTCATCTCACTGTCACTATCTGTGATGAGGTTGAACCCTTGGTATGGTGTAGCCCTCTGCTGAGCTGACTGAAACTTCTCCAGAAAAATGGAATATTGCCTTCAGCCATGTCCAATTATCTTTGATAGTTTGGTGAGTTAATACGATTATACCACATCCTGGTCAGCTTGTTACGAAAGGTGATGACTTGGCAAGTATAGTTGGGTAAGCATTAGTGCACTCATAATGTGCTACAGAATATTTGGTTTAGTCATGCGTGTGCTTTGCTAGGTGGAAATTTTTGTGTGCATTCGTGCAGCACTACAGTTGGATGGCACTGAAACCTGCCTGAAGGGCTGGGGATGCTTTTTAGAGTAAGTGGCAGCATAAGTTTTCGGTAGAGACTGTCCATAATGTGCTGTAAATTAATTACAGTGTTGGTGTTGACAGTAGAATCTTACAGCAAACAGAAAGCTTAATTCTAAATATGTCAGCAAAAAACCAGAACAGGCCATCTCCCAGTTTCTTCTTAAACCTAAGGTCATGAGTAGCCACATGAAAAGGCTGTCATTTGTTTTGTCAGAGCTGTGGAGTAGGTCTGTAGTTGGGACATTGGAGCACAGCTTTAGTGGAACCAGGTCTGTATAGATATTTGACGGGAACTCGCCAAATGATTTGGCTCCATAGCATTGGAACTGTTTCAGCAGCAAATTAAATACTTGCCAAATGTTGTAATTTTGTGACTGAGATGTCCAAAATACACAGCAGCTAGCCAAGGTGATTTGGGAACTTTCCACGGGGTGTGCAGGTTGTTCGACTTAAGGTTGTCTCTTAGACTGGAACACAGTGGTTAACTTCCCACTAGCTCTGGGAGTGAGAGGCAAGTGGCAGTTCTTAAGAACCGTCAGTATTTTCTCAAACATAACAATAAAGCAAAAATGTTGGTTTTAACTACTGCAAAGAAAACAAGATGAATGTCATTCTGAATGTGTTGCATAGTTACTGTTCCAAATAACCAGCATTTATTGCACTGGGGATATAAAATATTCCTTTGTCCCACTTGTGCCTTGCTATCTCTCATCTCAGCTACTTCAATTCCTCCTTTTTTGGCCTGTTCTCACTTTCTTGGCATGCCACTTCTAACTCCAGTTTTCTGTTCCTGATCAAGTCTCATGAGGGGCTTTGTGTTTCCATCTTGCATTGAATGTTTCATTGTTGTTTCATTCTGCATAATTTTACATCTGCCTGTAATAAATTTCTTCATGTTTTGGCTCTTATGATATTATTGTTGGTATTAGTACATGCATCAGTTCTCCATGCTGAGTTAAACAGCAAATTTTAGTATTGCAAATTGCAAGTGAGAATCCATTAACAGTTACTGAGGTTTGATGTTATTTTAACACTTACTTGTGGTACAGGTGCTTTGGGAAGGACCCTCTGCCCCTGGGTCTGATGCTCCTGAAATGATTGCTGTCTATAGACGCACTCTAATCACGTGTCTTCCTATTAAGTGTTTGAGTACTTCTGGCTTTGAGGTGAGGGAACATGTTAATGTGACGTTAACACAGTTTTCTTCATCACAAAAATCATCAAATAGTTTGGGTTGGAAGGGACCTTCAAAGCCCATCTATTTCCAAGCCCCCTGTCATGGGCAGGGACACCTCCCTGTAGACCAGGTTGCTCAAAGCTCCATCCAACCAGGCCTTGAACACTTGCAGGGATGAGGCATCCCCAACTCCTCGGGGCAACCTGTTCCAGTGCCTCACCACCCCAATCATAAAAAAAATGTCTTCCTTGTGTCCAATCTAAATCTAATCTTCATTCTAAAGCCATTACCCTTTGTCCAGTCAGTGTGTGCTGTGTTGACCTTCGTCTGCTGCCAGGTGCCCACCCTGGTGCTGTAATCACTCCCTCCTTCCCCAGCACCAGAAGAAGAAATAACATTGAAAAAAAAAGGACTTATGGTTCACAGTAAAGGCAGTTTAATAGAGAAAAAGCGAAGGCTGTGCAAGGAAACAAAGGAAAACCAAAAAATATTTCTTCTCTACTTTCCATCAGAAGGCAATGGCATTGTGAAAATGAGGATGTGAACAGTCTTGAGATTGCTTATGAGGAATCAAGAGTTGTAACATGGGGTCCTGCTTGTGCTCCCAACCAAGAGTCACCTTTGTTGCTGGCAATAGCAAAGGGGTTTTAGGTAGTGCCTACTTCTGCCTTCTTTCTGGTGCACACAAACTAGAATTAAAATACAAGCAAACCCATTTTGGTAACAATTTGGTGACTCAGGTGGGACTCTGTGGCTTCCCAAACTGTTGAGTGTGTGATGGCATATGACACAGCCAATACTGGGTGAGTTCATGCAATTGTCCTTGTGGGATTCACATTCCCTGGGAAGGTGCTAAAACTGGGGACAGCATCAGTTAGGGGAGTGTTCAATAGGTAAGGGAAAATGGGGTTTCCTGGTGAAATTCTGGGAAACTGGAAGAAAATTGATGGTGCTTTAGGACTCTATCGAGCTTGATGTAGTTTGGTGTCAGGATGAGTCACTGGAACTCGGGAGGGAACCTCCTCTGAGCACTAGCCCCTGGGAGGCTCATTTGATATGAGTAAGCTGAGCTTCCTGCATCATATGTGATACAATATAAGACAGAATTGCTTCATATGGTAAATCCCTGCTCACTGCTCCCCATCATTTTGTGTATCACAGGACAAGTTGGAAGTTGTTTCCGGGATGTGTCGCTCCGTCACCAGGGATGGAGGTGTAGCTGGCAGGCCTAGCGAGGGTCCTGGAAGAGGACCACACAAGGAGTATAGTGTGCAATGGTTGAGGAAGGAGGAATGCCTGGTTGGTCTTTATTTTCTAGGAGGAATAACAGGATAAGACCAGCGTACTGTCTTGCTCACAAAAAAAAAACCAAAAAAAAACCCCCAAAAAAACCAACCCATACTTGTGAAGAACTGGCAAACTGGTAACAATGAACAAGGCTGAGGTACTCAACAAATTTTTTGCCTCCATTTTCACTGGCAGCCTCTCTTCCCACACCTCTCGAGTGGATGGCTCTCAAGTCAGGGAGTGGGGAAGCAAAGTCCTTCTCACTGTAAGAGAAGATCAGGTTTGAGAGCACCTGAGGAATCTGAACACGCCTAAGTCTATGGGATCTGATGAGATGCCTCCCAGTCTGAGAGAACTGCCAGGTGTAGTTGCCAAGCCACTCTCCATGATATTTGAAGTTGTGGAAGTCAGGTGAAGTCCCAGGTGACTGTGGGAAGAAGCAGTCAGTGAAATGCTCCCAAGGTGCACAGGCAGCAAGCACAGAGGATGTCCTCGAGCACAGGCTTCTCTGGGTGCCCTCAGTGTGGGAGGTGTACAGCCAGGCACTGCACTTCACACTCGTCTTAATGACACTCACTCACAGGACAACAGCCAGAAAACCTGTAGGGCTAGTTAGGGCTGGGAAAGGGACATGCAGACACTCTGGAAATCCCTGGCCAAGCCCAGCCTATCCATCCAGCTTGGTCCCAGGATGTGCACACAGAGGGAGTAGTGGGTTTGAGGTGCTCTGCAAATGTCCTTTCCTGGTGCATGAGTGATGCCTGTGCTGACAGTCCCTGGGACAATGGCACTTGCTGTTGCACTTCTGCCTGCTCTCTGCTCTGCGTGGAAAGGACATGCACAGAACCAGCTCCAATAGGAGTGTCTCCATTGCTGTCTCAAGCAGTGGTGCTCTGACGTGGCAGAGCTGCCCTTCAGAAAGCCCCAGGGCCTTCCTTAGGCTCTGCAGGGGCCCATGCAGGGCCCTAATTACCCTCCAGAGTGCCCCAGCTAGGCTCTGCCTGAGCCCATTGGAGACCCTCCACCCTCCATTCTACAAAATTCTAGAAGTTCCAGATCACATCTGTAGATAATCTGGAGGTTGGTATAGGCTGTTTATGTAAGATTTTTAGCCCAGTCTCCCTTATCTAGATCAAAATAGGACTAAATAATCCAAAATAGGATGCCAGCAGGGGACTCCAATGGGTCCCAGAAAAGCCCAGATGAGGTCCTGGGTCACTCTGGAGGGTAATTAGTGGCCTTTGCAGGGTATGTGCCCAGAGGTGGTTGCAGTAGGATCTAACAAGAGTGGAGTAGAGGGGCAGAATCACCTCCCTCGACCTGCTGGCCACACTGCTTTTGATGCAGCACAGGATACAATTGGCTTTCTGAGCTGAACATGCACATTGACAGCTCATGTCCAACAGATCATCCGCTAGTATCCCCAGGTTCTCCTCTGAGCTGCTCTCAATCTGTTCATCCCTGACTGTACTGCAGACTGTCCTGGGTCCTGGGTGCAGGACCTTGCGTTTGGCTTTGTTGAACTTTACATGGGCCTCCAACCTGTCCAGTTCCCTCTGGACAACATCTCTTCCCTCAAGTGAATCACCTGCACCACTCAGCTTGGTGTCATCTGCAAACTCACAGAGGGTGCACTGTAGCAGTGTTTATCTGAGCCCTTCCCTTCCCACAGATGGACGCACAAGCTCAGCATCCTGCCATGGCCTTCGTGACAGTTTCTGCACCTGCCTGTAATTGTGTTGCCCTTCCTCACTAAGTGATCATGCTTGTAGGGGCCTGCTAGGTTTTTCGGCATAATTCATTGCTGAAAATGTAAACCAGTTGTTTTCCATCAAAACTGAAATTTCTTTCACTAATGTTCAAGTCTAGATGTCATCTGAACCAGCACAAGCTGTTTCCCTGCTCCAGCTGAAATTTTCTTAACTCACAGTGGTTGTTGTGGTTTACCCCCAGCCAGCAGCCAAGAACCCCAGCCAGCAGCCAAGAACCCCAGCCACGCAGCCACTCCCTCACTCCCCCACCCATGGGATGGGGGAGCGAGTCAGAAGCGTAAAAGCTACAAAAACTCATGGGTTGAGATAAAGACAGTTTAATAGAGAAAGCAAAAGCTGCACACACAAGCATAGCAAAACAAAGAATTAATTCACTGCTTCCCACAGACAGGAGGTGTTCAGCCATCTCCAGGAGAGCAGGGCACATCACACGTAACAGTTGCTTGGGAAGACAAACACCATCACTCCAGATGTCCCCCCTTCCTCCTTCTTCCTCCCTCCTTATATACTGAGCATGATGTCATATGGTATGGAATATCCCTTTGGTCAGTTTGGGTCACCTGTCCCAGTTGTGTCTCCTCCCAATCTCCCATGCACCCCCAACTTCCTTGCCAGTGTGGCAGTACAGAAACCAGAAAAGGCCTTGGCTCTGTGTGAGCTCTGCTCAGCAATAACAAAAACATCTCTGCATTATCAACTCTATGTTCTGCACAAAACCCAAACATAGCCTCATACTAGCCTCTGTGAAGAAAGTTAACTCTATTTCAGCTCAAACCAGCACAGTGGTTCTTCTGGATTGTTAGCTTGTCCCTTAGCTACTTTTCATTAGCTATGTTCTCAAAACTTCTGTAGGCAAACTGTCTTGCCCCACAGAGACAAGAAGAGCTCCATCATGGATTTCATGGGGCATGGTCCGAGGAAATGAAGGTTTCAGAGGTAGTGGTCTACATACAAACCTCCCCCAACACCCCCTCTGTACCACCTCCAGCTGGGTCAGAACAGGATCAATGAACGGAAACAAATTTAGAAGAAAAATCTTCATTAGGCTGGTGGGGCACTGATGTTTAATTCTGTGCCTGTTGATTTCAGAAGAAACAAAATGTGTTTCCTCTTCACTCAGGCACTGACTGTATGGGACTCATTCAGCTTTTGAAAGAGAAGACAATGAGGTGCACAAGTCAAGAGAATATGAAGAAACAAAATGATTCTCAAAGGGATTTTAATGAAAGTCTTCTCATTTATTTGAACGGTTGCTATATTCAGATAATTAGGCAGAATTGTCATAGGAATGAAAATCAACTTTCCCTTCTTCCCAAGGAATCCAAAAAATATTGCTATGTACAGAATTTACAATTATATGCAATAATTTATTGTTATTCTGGACTCCAAAATTTGATATAATTGGTTAAAACACCCACACTGAAGCTAGAGCAGGATGTGTCCATCCTGTACCTTTCACAATGTTCTTTGAACTTTATCAATATAGTTCCAAAATGATTGCTCTTCCAAGGATGAGAAGCTTTCCTCACCTGAGATCTTGCTGTTGCATACAATTTTCACCATCCACAGCCTACATGATTAAATTGTATTCCTTTTTGAGCAGGTGAGGTTAGGGAGAACAGTCCAGATGTGCAAGTGTGTTTAGGTTTCTGCTTTCTGTTGGAATCAGATGAAAGATGATACAAAGCAGGTGTGAGAAAAATAATCTACTGATAAATCAACAGATGTTAGGCTTCTTGGTAGCTTTGGGATTTGAATGGAAATCCTTCGTTTCATGAATTTTCTTACTTTCACTTACAGAAACTTGCTTTTCTTTTGTGGATTATTTGGCAGAAAATTTTTCTGTAACTCTTTGTAACTGTAGTCCATGGGCACTACAGACCCCCAGTTTCTCTTTAAAAATTAGAAGCCTTGAAGAACTCAGAAATAAAGCATCATTAGCTCTAACTTCATGTTCAATCCAAGGACCATGGAAAGGATTTATGAGATTAAATGAATGTGCTATTAAATGAATTGGAATTGAGTCCTGAGGTGTTACTAGGAGGGCTTTTGCTTCTTTAACAGCTTCATTTTCCAGGCAGAATCCACAGCTGCTCCACAATAAGGAAAGTTGCTCTGAGCAACCTCAGGATTGTAACCAAGTGTGCTGGAAAGCACCTGTGTTGCTAATGAGTGGAATTGAGCATATGGTGGCTGAAAGTTGTCTTCTGTAACCCAAACTGTCAGTCTAGGGCAGCAGGCTCCCTCCTGGAAACCTTGTGAACAGACATCCTCACTGTGCAGCTCAACCAAAGAGTTCTGAGGCTGGGCAGTGGCAGGAACTGTGCTTCCCCACCAGTCCAAAGGGAGTCCTCCTCAATCAAGATTAAGGTGGAATGACAGCACAAAGGTAGCCTGGTGCTGCCAGCATTGCTTCCTTTTGGCACAGCAGTAACAGCCTTCAGCTTCCTTATGGAAGTGCGTAAAATGCATAGCAATAAACTGTGCCTTACCTCCTTTCAGTTGCCTGGATGTATGAAAAACAGTTACCCACCTAAATCTGCTGCTACACAAACCTGCCACCATGGGCAGGTGATAGGCAGCAGCAATTATTTAGATGTGCTCTTCCTGGAATCATGATGCTCCTGAGGTTCACATGTTAGCAGGCTTGGCTTTTTAATTAGGGAACCGAAGCATCCATAAGCAGCAAAACAAAAGAAGAGGCTTGAAATCATCCTCATTTTGTATTATAGAGAATTTCTATATTCATCAGTACACCAGTGATTGCTAAACAGGTCCTCACTACATTTACCTGCATTTCCAAACAAGGTGGTTATTATGCAAATAGGTTCGCTTTGTGGAGGCATCTCCAGGGTGAGTTTAACCCTGTCCTGTTCTGTTCCTCTTGCCTAAGTCTTATGGGTCTGTAAATGTTCATGTTATACGGAACTGTGGCATTTTCGGCCACGTACTGCGGCTGATAGTAGTTAGCCTGGATGGCCTTCTGTGGAGGGGGAGGTGTGAATGAGCCATAGCCGTGGAAGGAATTCACTCGATGGAGAGGTGACTGGGGGCTGAAGTTGCTGTTAAATATGAGAGTTCTTGGGGTTTGCTTGGTCTGGTGTGTGCTGCCAGTCGAGAGGCTGCTGAAGGGATCAGACAGAGTGTTCGCACTGCCCTCGTCGCTGCAGGGGAGGCTGCGCTGGGGGACCCAACTCTTGCTGTACAGGAAGGGCAGAGTGCGCGGTGGAGACTTGGGGCCCCTCACTGGCTTGGACAGCGCGTAAAGATGTCGGAACTCCTCATCAAACAGCTCCACAACTTGACCCGTGAACTTGGAGAGGAGGTTGCGGTGGACTTGGCCACATAACCATGTGAAGCTGGAAGAAGAGACAAGGGAAGGGTTAGTGTTAACACTGGCCATTAGGAACTGGAGATCCCCTGCAGGGGTGATGTGAAAGGCAAATGTGTTTTACTGCTGAAGCTTCTTGTCTAAACACAGGAAGAAGATGGTGTCGCAGTTGAATTTCAGGTCAGTTCACATCACTGCTCTTTGACTTGGATCAATCTTTGTTATTGCAGCTGCCTCTAAAACCTTCAAGAAACCTTGTAAAGTTACGCAACCTCCTAAAGGGAGTGGTGATCCAGATCCACTGCAGGACTAAATGTTCAGATACAATACCCACGATTTGGATGTCTGTTCCACGGAAAGGAGTTTAGGTCCCTCTTTTGGGTACCTCTCTTCCCAGCACAATGCTTAAATTCAAGTCTTACCATGCCTTACCTGCACACATGTAAGTTATACCCTGTACCCTGCAGAATGCTGTGCCACGTGGTAACTCTCACCCACACAAAACTGACACTAGAAAGACTAGCAAAAAATAACCATCCATTGTCTTAATTTTGCCATAATCTTTCTGCATTGGTCAAGAGCAACACATAAAACCACAACCTCTCTGTCACGTCCCACACCCATAAACCAAAACACACCACCTGACAAATGTTGGTTTTCTTCACTACAGAGAAAATGAAATTATAAACATTTCCTACAGCTTTTCCAAGGGAGAAACACCACAATAGTCTTCATTCTGGTAGTCCAGAGACGCACCTTAGGATAACCCACAGCTTTTAAATTATTTTTCTTTTATTTGCTTCCCTAAACCACTCAGCAAACATAAATTTGTGCTTTTACAAAACCACAAGCCAGCTTGATTGGGCTGTGCAGGCTGCCGTGTCTGAGCAGCTGCAGCACCAATAAAATGAGCATAGTTGAGAGAATGAAATGTAATTACTCCTTGAGCTGACCAGGGCTTGAGCTGTGCAGCAGAGGATACAGAGCAGTGTTGAATTTGAACTTGAGGTTATTCTGTGTTGGCAAAACTCTGCCATGGTTATTCCTGCGTGACTTTATTAGCTAGATTTGCACAAGGATTGCTGAGAGCCAGATTTGGCTGTAGGTGTGTGCACTTTAAATCTTGTTCTTGTCGTGTTTTGACAAAACTCCTGTGAAACTCAGTGGGACTGACAGCCTGAGCTGATGCTAAGGGAGTAGGACAGACGATTTACATCTGCCTGTCCAGAGCATTCCTCCAGAGGGTTGGGCTTGGGGCATACAGTGGTTTTATATTGTTGCTTTAGGAGCAATGGGAGGAGTGAAGAAAGCACTAACTCAATGCCACCAGGCAACCCTACAATATACTGTATGCTTCATGACTGGATGTGAAAATACACAGTAAGTTGCTAGAAAACAGGTGCTTCTCATCCACTTGTTCAAATCATTCCAAATATGGACAAAACCTTGGGAGCCAAGGTAAAAAGCAGAGCAAGCTATGTGTGTAACCTCTGCTGTGACAGCTCAACATTGCCTTTATCCACTAAGGAGCACATTCTAAACCTTTTCATGTCCTTCATCTAACTGTTAAGGAGATAATAAGTCAGGAACAAATATAAAACCACACACAATTAGTCTAGGATATCTACACTGAAGGCTACAAACTCACGAAAGGGCTGAGGTGTAGAGTTTTATACTTCATGTGCTAGAGATACATCTCGTCTATAAAAGAAAATTTAGACAGAAATAAAAATCAATTACACCTGTAAATGGCTTTTTAGAAACCCAACAAAATTAGAAAAAATACTGTTCTGCCCAATTTAGATAATTTACTCCTACAGGTTACTTTCTGGAGTACTTGACAGACAGAGAGCAGTTTTGTGGGTCATCAAACTTATCTGTAACCCTTCTAAGCAGAGAAAGTTGGATCTAAAGATTCTCCAAGAACTGACGGTAAATGGGTCATCTATAAAGTTACAAGGTGAGACCTACGTGATTTTAGACAAGTGTTTGTGGACTTCTGTTGTGTAGTGAGTCACAGCAATTCACATTCTGTGCGCTTTACTGAAGAACAAAGCAGAACTTGACATAAAGACTTAACAGCTTTTCATTGGCTTAATTAAAGAAGAAATTAATTGTTTAGGTTTTAGGCCCTGGTTTGCTCCTTGGTTTAAAATTCCAAGTGCTCTTTTGGGAAAGGCTTGGCGAAGTCTGTTATTGTCACTATCTGCCCAGAAGAATAATTTTTCTTTCAGGCCTCTTTGAGTAAAGGCTATTGAAAGAACAGAAAGCACAAAGAAGTAATGCCTAGTTTGGGAACAACACTGTGTCATAAGTTCAGCCATTAACAGCCATCTTTCCAGGACTTTGTTCCAAAACCTGTGTCCTATTCTGGATCCTCTCATTAATGAGTATCTGAATCAAACCCACCTCTCCTGTTCTGTATTGGACCTGCTTTGTAATGAGTGTCCTCTCTGCATTGCTGCAGCAGCAGTTCATTAGGGATACCCTTCATCCTTGAGTTTACAGCACTGCAGCAACATGTGGCATTACACACATGGGATCTGAAGGGGAGGAGGGAAGGAGGGAGGGAAGGAGGGAAGGAAGGAAGGAAGGAAGGAAGGAAGGAAGGAAGGAAGGAAGGAAGGAAGGAAGGAAGGAAGGGCTGGGGGTTTTCAGCTGAGCGCAGGTTAGAATTAACCTACACATTAGTGTTGCCTGCTGGTGGGATAACCTGTGTGTGAGAAACCTGCCCCACCTGGACCGATGCTCTTGGCAAAGCAAAAAAGCAAATCAGTGTTAGGTACTGGCTCTGAAGAGGCCAGTGGATTTCAGAGTGGCAGATGGGGAAGAACTCAGCTGCTCCTGGGGATCAAGCACAAGATCCCTGTGCTTTCTGCTGTTCTCATTTTGCCTTCTTTAGAAGCACTGAGTTCATGCACTGTCTAATTTCAAGTTAATTTAAAAAACGGAATAACAGTCATCATAGGATGAGGTAGAGTAACACAGAGACAGCACAAAGAAATGTTGAATCCTAACCCCACACCATAGACACTGGCAAGAAAAACAGAGAGTAAAACTGTAACTTAAAACACTTACTCATGGCTGCACTTGTGCTGATAGATGTGTGTGGAACAGCCTTCAGAAGCCTCTCAGCTCTGGTCTTCTCTGTGCAGCAGGACCACACTTACCCACACTGGCCCAAGCAATGCCTTTTTAGTGTGGTTTTAAAAACCATTACAGAGCAGGAGATGACACAGGCTTGGTGGTGGTTCCTTTGCCTCTAACTAGTTGCCTGCTTCAGTCCTCTTAGTTGTCCATTGGGCAAATGTATTTTGTCCCACACACTTTGGGAAACAGTGAGTCAGGGTCCCTCTTAAAGCAGTACAATCTGGAAAGATGTATTATTTCCTCAGCCTGTTCTTCCCACCACATTACAATGTCATGCCAAGCACAGCACTTAGGCAAAATTTAGTGTTGTATTTTAAGATATTTAGTATTAGTTTTAAGATCTCTTCCAATCTGATTTCCAACAAATGCACTGCAGAAATGTTGGAGTCTGTTCTACTCAACATAATTGTTGTTTATACCTGAAGAGGTTGGTGGATAAGATTTAAGCATAACAGAAATCTCTCAGATTAATAAAGTGACAGCAAGAAATGCCACATACAGATAGCCAGCTATAACCCATGTGAATCTGCAAACTGGTGCTGAGCATGTTGAAGTTAAATAGTGTATAGATTAGTTCCTCACCACCCTCTCTACTTGCTTGCTGGATAGGGGATTAGGTACTTTGATAAGGTGCTTGAGGTTAGAAGATACTGCAACAGCAGTAGAGAAAGATGGAAGTGACTCTGCACAGGACTTTGAAGAGTTTTTCATTTTTTTAGGATTGAAAGATAAATCATAAGGAAACTTCTACACATCTTTGGTGAGGAATTAAAAATCACCTGAAGGAACCAGAAAACCAAAGAGCAATCAATAAAAAAACCCGAGTGTCCACTGTTTTTTGTCTGATGATTCAGATGGAAACTGTATGAAAAGTGAATGATTTGTCTCTGTGGACACCTGAGCTTCTGCAGCCCATACTGACTCTGCATCTTCATCTTTACCTCTGTTACTATAGTTATATAATCTTCCTGGTGGCAGTTTTATCAGACCAGAGGCATTTAAGCTTCTGAATCATAAACTGGGATTAAGAAACACAATCGCATCATTTTAATTAAATAATCACCTCTCGTATTTTTTATTTAGATTTCTAGGATACACTTGGCCATCTGAGACGCTTGTCTATGTAGTCATGGTGCTTAGGAACTTCATTTATTTGATGTGAGCTCAGAGCCTCCTTAAATTCCCTGACTGGAGGCTCTTGGATCTTAATTAAAAACCCAGTTGTTGAGATCTACATCCTCTACCTGAAATAATTATAGCAGGAAAAAAACCCCCAAAAACAAAGAGAAAGGGGAAAAAAAAAAGAGGTGGGGGCAATGAAGGTAAAACAGTCACATAGACACACACTGCCTACCTATTAATGAACAACAAGGAAAAACAGTAAGTCTCTGAAGTATTTCTGTTTTGCCTTTAATCACTAAACTTGTCATATGGAGAACAAATCCTCAGATAAGCTGAGTGACATATGTTACATTAAGGGATCCCTAGGGAGATGGAAATGTACCATGTCTCATCACAGCACCTGAGAACCCAAACAATGAGGATGAGGAAAGCATAATATTAAGCTGTACACATTTCTAGTTCTGCTCCAGGGCTGCATGGCAAAGTTGTTTATGTTAGTTTCTGAACACTTAATTTAAAACCCATGCTCCATAAAGACTTAATACCAACTTTAAAGCAAGTTAAAGGGATTTTTGGAAAATGGCACATATTTGAAAACATGAGTGGTTTTTTTGTTAAACAAAAACTTCTTACCTGTACAGGAATTTCCATGGCACTTTTTTTGGTGAAATAATATTAAAACATCATAAAAGGGTACCTAGACATGAACTGCAACAGCTTATCTCACCTGTAAGATCCAGAGAGCACATATCTCCAGTCAGAGATAAGGAATTTTTCTTGTATTTGTCCTGAAAATTTCCTGCCCGATTTGGCACAATAAACCTCTCCAGTAACACTGCGGACTGAAATATTCTGTAAATAAAAATAAATTGGCATGAATTGCATTTTTCAAAAATTAAAAATCCAAAGGGAAGGCCCCTTTTCCCCCACTGCATTTGGCTCTTCACTTCCCCAGAGTCAGATTTCTTCATGGACTTCTCCAATGTTATATTTGAAAGTCTGCGTCTAGAGCAAACCTAGCCAAGGTCTCTCACTTGCCACAGGGTTGCTTGTTTCACTGGGGATATAAACCTGCAAGGAAATTCATACAGATGGAGCTGTGCAGTGTACAAAAACTGCTACTGCCCCAACCAAAATAGGTATGGGAGATGTCCACAGCTGACAGCAGCCTGTTGCCTCCTCTGACACCCCAACCACAATGTGCTGTGAGCTCTCCTGTTTTACACTAGCTATGGCTCAATACAGCACAGCAAAACCTTTGTGCCTACATTTCATCTGAGCCTGCAAGGACATACATGCTGCTCTCCTGGAGTTGCCCAGACAAATATTATCCTTCAGGATCAGGTGCAAGTACAGGTGTGAGTGGAGCAGCAGGTTAGTTTGGCCCAGGTGGTGCTCTGTATTGTCCTTGTCCCTGAGCAAGTGCATTTAAGGCCCACCAGGCACCTGGGCCTGCACACACTTTGCAGAACCAGGGCCTTAGTAAATGAGTGGCACCAAGGTCTGACTCGCACCTTGTGGGAGTCTGTGTACTGCAGCTGCATACTTACAGTATTTACAGTAAATAGCACAGGGCTGTTCTTCCTTGGGAATGGGGGTTTACAGACACACAAACACTGTTATCAACATGCTTTACTAATTTCAGTTTCCTTATATATTTGGGGTGGAATTCAGCTGTTGAAAAACAGGTGTCTGGTGCATGTAAGATGCCCTCAGATCTCCTGTGTGCCCCACAACAGGAGTCTGTTGCCTCTGCAGTATCAGCCACCCCCATGGAGGTGCCACAGGTGCCCTACAGCATCTCGAGCAACAACTGAAACGATCCCTAGGAGGTGTTTTTTTTAAAGTCAGTTCCCTCTGGCAGAGATGAAGACAGACTAAGCTAACAGCCAGCTAAATCTGAGGCACTACCTTTAAAAGAGAGCTTTAGCACATTTTCTCAGACACTACCCAGTGCAACCAATGTATTGCCCTGCAAGAGTTTTGTGCACATAGCTGCCAGACCACAGCTGCTGTAGAGCTATTAAACAGAAGCAGTTGTTATGCTTACGTTAGACAAGTCTACTAGGAGACTTAAGCTCTGTTTTAAAATTCAGGACCCAGATTATTTTAATCTGGGGACCTAATGGAAATGCCTTACCTTCCTATAATATCCATGGGAAAATGTAGGCGTCTTCGGAGAGGAATTAGGTGTGCTAATTCTACCTCAGGAAATCTCTTGCTCCCTTTTAATTAGAAGGTGGATTGGCCCTAGCATAACCATGCTTCCAGCTCAGAGTGCCTGAAGTTAGGCAGACGATTCTAAGAGCTTCACAGAGCCACAGTACCTTGAAGAGATCCTCAGCAATTTGCAACTTGTCGCACATCTCCGAGAAGAGATGTACACTGCCATGATCGAGCAGCAGGTAGACAAACACCATGCGCTTGTTTGCTGCCTCCAGGAGGTCACAAAGAATCTCAGTGTCTGTGAACACATCCATCACAATAGCTAACACCTAGGGAAAAAATGCAGAGGCATTACTAGAGTCAGTTTACATAACTTAAGGCTGCCTGTGAGGCCATTGAGATGTAGTCTATTTGTTTTAAAAAATTTTTCCAACAAACACAAATCTTCAGACATATATGTGGGTATTTGTTCTGGTTTTCTCCTAAGTGCCTGAATCAGTAAATCGATGTGACACCTTGTTTCATTGTTTTATTGCTCACATAAAGCCAATAAAACACACAACCCAAGATGACCCATGAATTTGTAGGTGGGATTTCAGAACTAGGAAATACATTGAAATGTTAATCGGAGAATAATTAGGACATAGTTAAAATAAGAGATCACAGCCCTTGCCCATGTCCTAAGTCACATGTACTCAGCAAGAATCACTGGACAATGCTTTCTCTGTTATGATTTACACCTGGAATGGTCCTGGCTTTAAATCCCCACTCTCGGTGGTGGTGTGGGTGGTGGTGAGGTGATAGACTCCAACAGCTCCACCTGTCGCTCTTTAAAAATATTGATTTATAAACTAACTGTTTCAATTGAAGCATCCATCCACGCTTCCCAATTCACTGCTAGCGGAACAGTGCGTAAAACTCTCAGGACTGGGCATAAAAGCCCTGACAGCTATTTAAATGCACAGCCTGCAGCCAGTGTGGGTCGAGGGAACTGTAAATGTGATATAAAACCAGTTCCAAAATTTAGCCCCTATACTCAGCACTGGGCATGGCCTCATGAAGGTGGTCTTGTCTGACATCTGCTATTGCCCATGGTCAGGGTCACTCCCCAAGGCAATTCAGCCCTGACTTGTCTTCAGGAGTTGCCTATTTCTCCACTGATCAGAGAGGGAACCTTTGATAACTGCGCTCACAGGATGTCATCCTCAATCAATACAAACTGTACAGTATCTCTGTAGATCTGTCTTACTAACTGCTTCCAACTTGCACTAAATCTTACTCCAGTGCCCATGCTCACACATAACAGCAAGCTTACTCCCTTTGCCACCATGGGAAGTCCTACAAGACCAAGCACATCCTGTGCAGCCAGTATCCTCTTCAGGCAAGCCAAACTATTTGTGGAGCAGTGAGGATCCCACACCTTCCTCCTGCTGCCAAAGCATGGTGCTCCAGAAAGGGCCTGGCCACTGCTAGGTAAGGGGGAAAGGTGCAGATGATGTGAAAATCATGTCCAGTGTCTCACATCCACACTTACTGTGTTAATGCACCTTGTCCTTTTAAATGGCTGTATCCAGCCTCACTGTAGCTCCAGGCCACTCTCTCTAGTGCTGCCTTTTCACCAGCTGTTCCCAATTTATATTCCTGCACCTGACTCCCCTCTCTTGCAGTACTTCTTTTGCCAAAATTTCATTTTACAGTTTGCACCAATTCCACAAATGTGTTAAGATCATAGTATCACTTGCCGATCCTTTGCACTTTGGTATAATCCACAAACACTGTCTTTGTTAAGTTGTTAATGTATATATCAAGTACTAGGCTATCCTGGATGGACCCTTACCAGGTACTAATTAATAAATGCTGCCACTGGAAAACTGTACTCAAAAAGCTGCTGACAAATTTGTACCATGAGTAAGTATTCTTCAGCACCCTCTTGTAATGTAAATGAGATGATTAAGAAGATCACGTGAACCATATTAAAATTCCCACTTTTTTCCCTGCAAGTTTTCTGCTCTTGGGACAGAAAATCAGTCTGGGTTGATATTTTACCTAATGCTTATTTCATTATTCCAGAGGCATTTCTCCTGCATCTGTATCTTTCTGATGCCACCAGCTTAAAATGACTGATCTATAATTCCCCAGATGTGCTCAGCACTTGTAGGCTTTGACAGAGCAGTTACCAACAGGGATCCTTCTCCCCTGCCATTACACTCTGTGTTATCAGGCCCATCACTTGCCCTTGCAGCAGAATAACAAAGTGGATGAAGTCTGTGGCTCCAGCAGGATCTGCAGCCTGTGCTGGGCAGCAGCACTGCAGCCTGGTTTGGTCCCTGTCCGTTCCCCTGTGAACCTGTTGGTGCTGTCTCAAGTTTATACACGAGGAAAACTTCCTGGATGATAATAAACACAGCCCTGAAATATCAGTTTATATTTTTTCCCAGGAAAACAAGACAGCTGCCAGAACATATCCGGCAGAGGTTTCCCAGAGCATGGACATCCAGCCTTGTGGCTGGCACCTCTCTGTGGCCCCTGTCACCTGTGTGTTGTCAGGGGCATCATCTGCACCTTTCCCACGTGCCAAACGATGCTGCAGTCTCTGTATGGAGTCCACATGGCATTTTTCGTGATACTGGCAACGTATCAGGGATGGAAGGTCTTTTTCCTGAATAATTTCCTTCCTCTGGGGATGACTGCTGGCATGCCAGACACACATGCCTTTCTCTGGCCTCTCCTTCACCCACATCTCCCACAGATGCCCTCAAACAATTCCTAATGTCTGAGAGCTCACTCAAGCTTAATTCTCATTACTGGTGCAGTGGTCTGAACAGAGCAAACCATCCTGCTGGGAATGCTCGAGAAGGGACTGAGCCCAGCTGCCCTTCCTACAGCATATTTGCTCTGCTGGGTTAATGGGAGGTTAGAAGAAGAGGGAAAGCTTTTTTTTCTAAAGTCACCAACATAAGAAGTTAGTGGTGTGAGTACAAAATAAAAGCACTGCCTGTGTTCAACAACAGGGTCTTTACAGCCACTCTCTAGAGCAAAGCTACACTGCAATGCACAAGGCTTGGATCAAGCAGCACATTCACCTCATCTTTTTAAGAGCAGGAAGACAGCCGAGTGCAGAGGGAACTACAATTCTCTCTCCATACCTGAGTGGTCTTGTTGATGTACCGGCGTATGATGTCTCTAATGTTGCTGTTCTTCTCTGTTTGGAAATACACAGTGGCAGTGGATTTTTCCTTTAAATAGGGTTTCTCCGCTGTAATCCATGTGTGCAGCAGAGCTGGCTCACTGCTGTCAGAAATGGTGGGGAAGTAGGTCCCTGAAGGGAGTGACCTGGCATCGTTCTGTTTTGGCGCAGCCGCTCCGTCTGTGGCTGGGGACTCCTCTGCATAATAAGACTCCCTGGCGTTATCCTTGATGTACTGAGTTTCCACAGAGGAGAGGAAATCCACCTCGTCCTCTTTCCTTAAAGTTTCGAGGTAAGAGTGTGTCCCACCATCCAGGAAGGCATCCGTGGCCAACCTTATGCTTTCGTTGTGGCTGAAATCCACTTTTGTCAACTTTGGGGACTGGTTCTTGATGTCCTCCAGCCTTTTCTTTATCTTGCCCATGTGTCTGGAGTGGTTCATGGTTCTTTGTCGCAGCAGTTGATCTGCTGAGCAGGCACCATGCATATGTGTGGCACAGGCAGAGCAATCGTCCTTCTTGTTTGGGAACTGCATTCTGGCATGAAATCGCCTTGGCTGAACGCACTAACTACGAATAAAAAGAAAGAGATCTTATTACCTCAGGCAGATTTACACTCCCTGAATTCGTCTGTACAATTATCTTCAAAACAAACCTGAAGTTTGCTTCTCAGGTGGTGCTGTGCTCCGGCAACGACGTTTCCAGATGGGACAGGAGTGCAAAGCAGATTAGATTGCTTATCTGAGAGGCACCCACCTCAGCCCCAGGGTGCACAGAGGAGAAGGATCCGACCGATTTACCACGGCCGTCCGATTCGATTGTATTTCCCTTCCTGTCGCATCCTGTGAAATGTGAGTGAGGAAAGCACTCAAGCAAGAGCAGGTAGGCTCCCAAGCATCGTTGCACAATCTTCAAAACAGCTTGAGGCTTCTCTGTCTTCGCATAGCATTCAGTAGGGAGAAAAAACAACTCTGATGTTGAGCTGGAACAGAGGCAGCAGCCACGTCCATGGCGTCAGAAGAGCAGAAAGGGCCATGGGCTCTGCTCCGCACCTACATGCTGCCAGGCAGGCTTAAAAACAGACGTCAACTTTGTCACTCTGCCCCATCCGTAGTATGTTGCTATTACCATAGACGATTCACTCACTTATTTCTTTAAAGCTTTGTGACTACGCCACCCTATTAAAAGAAAAATACCCCTTCCCGAACATCCTGAATATTATGTGGAAGCAGGGCTGTGAGCTGGCCTCAAAGCATCAGAAATACAAACACTCATCACTTGATTGTGCACATTTAGGGCTGTTTGGTTGGTTTCCTTTTTTTTTTTTTTCCAGGCCGTGGCTGCCGGAGTCACGTTGTGCCCGTGGCAGCTCAGCTGCTGTGTCATTAGCAGGTTTGCAGCGGGGCGAGAGGCGCGGGCCGGGGAGCAGGCGCTGGTATGAGCGCGGGGGCGAGCGGGGCAGGGCGGCTCTGCCCCAGGTGTGCCATGCATACCTGTGTGCGCGCTGCAGCGCACAGGCACGTGTGACACAGTTTTCTCACGCGCGCTGGGTTTGCCCTCGCGCTGAGTAGCTCTGTGTCCCTGCACCGATGTGACACAGCTCCGGGGGTCGCGCAGCACCGAGGGGATGTGCGCTCTGAGCTCCT